CAACAACAGTCTGAACTAGAAGCTAGGAAGCCAGAGAAGCATCAGCCCTCCATAGCCTACAGTCTGGTGGGCAGAGGACATGTGACAGAGTTGACATTCTGGAATGCCCAGAGTGCTATGAGCTCAGAGCTAGCAGTCAGGGAAAAGTTTCTGGAAGAGGCATCCTTTGAATCCCTCTTTTAAAAGAAGAGATTCTTGGCTAGGTGTGGTGGCACACACCTGTAATCCTAGCACTCTGGGAAGCCAAGGTGGGTGAATTGCTTGAGCTCAGGAGTTTGAGACCAGCATGAGCAAAAGCAAGACCCTGTCTCTATTAAAAATGCAAAAATTGGCTCCATGCCTGTGGCTCAAGCAGCTAAGATGCCAGCCACATACGGCTGAGCTGGTGGGTTCAAATCCAACCCTGGCCCACCAAACAACAATGACAGCTGCAACTAAAAAATAGCTGGGCGTTGTGGTGGGCACCTGTAGTCCCAGCTACTTAGGAGGCAGAGGCAGAAGAATCACTTGAGCCCAAGAATTGGAGGTTGCTGTGAGCTGTGATGCCACGGCACTCTACCCAGGGCGACAGCTTGAGGCTCCGTCTCAAAAAAAAAGGAAAAATTATCAAGGTGTCATCGTGTTGGGCACCTATTCAGAGGCTGAGGCAGGAGGATCACTTGAACCTAGGAGTTTAAGGTCGCTGTGAGATAGGCTGACATCAAAGCGCTCTAGCCTCGGGCAACAGAGTAAGACTCTGTTTCAAAAAAAGAAAAGACCCAGCTACTCGAAAATGGCCTAAGCCCCGGAATTGGAGGTTGCTGTGAGCTGTGTGACAACACAGCACTATACCGAGGGCGATAAAATAAACCTCTGGCTCTACAAAAAAAAAAAAAAAAAAAGGAAAGAAAGAAGACCAGTTCTATAAGCACAGGGCCTGCCTAAAGCCAAGAGAAATTCTATATCTGAGCCCCCACACCAAGCCCTCCTCCCCCTAGTTTCCTGAGAGCTGGGCTTTCCTGCAAACAGCCTGGGCTGCCTCCACCCAGCCTCAGCCCATATCACCCGGGCTCTGAACAGCTGTTCTGCAAGGGGCATCCGGGCCAGCCCCAGGCCACTACACAATGGTGTGCTACCCAGTCAGGAGAAGTCATTGTGCAACCTTGGGCCTCTGGCTCGTTCCAGGCCATGGGCAGGGAAGCCAGACTCCGGGAAGGGGTCTAAATGGTTGTCAGGGAGGTCCCTGCAAAGGAAGGGCTGGGTCCAGGGAGGAAGGACGGAAGGCAACAGGGAGGTCAAAAGCTGAGCCCAGCTTCTGAGGCACCTTGGCATGGGGGCAGGTAGGGAATAAGGGCCTAACCAAGGCCTTCCTGGCATGTGAATAATAGCCAGCGATAATACAATCCCAAATAACAAGGCCTGGCTTCTCAGGCAGAAGGAGACATGCAGAAGTCACCTGTCCAGGCAGAAGCAGAGGAAACCTTTCAGTACCCATTTCCATACATGAGTCCCCCATGGTAGCTCTGGGGGAGTCTCGGCAGCTCACCTTGTACTTTGGGGAGGAGGGCTCTTCTGTTTATTAAATATAGATGCTGCTGCTGTTGTGAACCCTACTTCCCCTGGCTTAGATCAGGCAATCCCAGCCTGGCTGTGTCCCTGTGCTGTCCAGCAAGGAGGCTGGCCTTCTCTGAGACAATATGAATAAATCTAGACCCTTCTCTCAGTTTGGCTTCTTGGGGGATGTTCTGCTGCTGCCCAAATGCTTCACATACAGCTGGCTAAGTTCCTCTAAGAACCCCTGGGGCTTAGTGGTTAGCTGAGGGTTTCTCTCTTCCCCAGCCCCTGCTGCAAGTAAGAGGGATGATTGTGTCTCTTGTGGCTTCACAGTTGCCTGGCAGAAAAGAGTGGCAGGAGCTGATGTGGAAGGCAACTCCACCATTCACTTGTTTTGACTAGACACATACCTCTCAGAACCTTAATTTCCCAACATATTACATGGGAACAATAAAATCTCCTAGGATTTTTGGCTGTTGCATAAGGGTGTGAACTCAAACAAGTAATAATACATGTGAAAATGTTTTGGAAAGCACATAATATTACAACAGAAAAGGCAAAGATATGATGCACATGCTGCCACTTCCCTCCCCTAGGCCCAAGGCAGATATTGCTAGCCAATCTCAGAACTTTCTCATTGAGCTTTACTGATACTTCAGAATCCCTCTCAACATCTAATCCAGGAAGCCATCCAATACATCAGAATTGCAAAAGAAAATCCACAAGCTCAGGGCCTTAATACTGTTGAGGAGATCCCACCAGGCCCAGATCAGGCTGCTAGGAGCAAGAGCGGGTGGGAAGTCAGAGGAGGCTTGCCTCTTGTGAGTGGTTCAGAGAAGAGAACTCTGGCATCTTGGTTCAGGCCATCATGCAGTAGCTATGTATCAGTTATCATGTCTGCAGCAAGGTCTGAAAGCCAGACTATTATTGGACCCTGCCCTTCTGGAACTCACAGAATACTAAGTGAGATATGGCATCAGCAATGCAAATCAGGGAATGCCCAGTAAACAGGACAGATGGTCAATACTCTCTCTGGGCTGGGCCAGATGCTCAGCTGAGCCATGAGTGTGTTTTTCAAGAGCCCTTTGTACCCCACATCCTGGTTGGCAATCCCAGTTCCCCTTTTGCCCATTGCAGTTCCCTAAGCAGATGTGACCCCCCACCCCCAGCACAGTCTGGCCAGCCCTGGAGTGCTCCAGCCAACACCTGGGAAGGCCTTGTCCATGAGGCAGGGCTACAGTGCCCAAGTTGGTGGGGGTGGGGCATAGCAGGACCTCTGCAGCCCCTAGCTCCACCACATCATCCCAAGTACCCTAACCACAGAGCACTCCCTGAAGAAGGCTACACCTCAGGTCCTCTGCCCAGCCCCTGAGCTGCTGCATATAGTGGGAACTCTGGCTAGGCAGGAGTCTTTTGAAAATCAAGTTCCGGCTCGGCGCCTGTGGCTCAAG